GGGGGGGCAGGACTCAGATCTCTTCTCCTCAAGTAAATTAATTAGCCCTCCTCCCCCAGTTAGAAATGGCTACTGCTGCTGCAGTTGCCCAGCCTGCTCCAAGCTGTCACGAGCTGCCCTCCCTCCATTTACTGCTCATTAGTTAGTTCAGGCAGTTGTTCCTTCTGGAGCTCTTCTGGAGGTACAGCAGTCAACATTTGAACTCCTTTTATACATTTATGCTGGAGTTACTCATCAGACAGAAGACAATACACCAAATCTTGGAGCCAAAGAGGAAAAAAAAGCCAGATACAGGAAAGGTATGTGGTTTCTTTGTCACGTTACTTTATGTAACTTCACATAACTGTTGCCATAGGAACATTATGCAGGGTACACTTATGGTTTGGCTTATGGTGTTCTCCATGTACCAAAATATTACTTAAGTATTTAGTAAAACATTAACCTTGCACTTCTTTTTTTTCCCCCTTTTTTTTTTTAGTGTTGCACACAGTAAAAAGCTACTGCTGAGCTTCCAGCCTGTTGCCTGTTTTTGGAAGCTTTTAACTTCAAAGGAGAAAGCCTTCTGCATCCTTGTCTAGGCAGCTGAAGTCCCAAGTTACTTATCTTCTCTGGGTCACACCGACAGCATCTTCTCACCTACCACTGAAAGGAAGATCTGCTTTCTTGAGTATCAAACACACTCTGAAAGCTGTCAATTCACATGACATATTGCATGTTAAATAACTCAAGTAAAACTCAAGTAAAAATCCATTTGAACTTTGCTGTATTTATATACTATATAAATTTTACATGCTATATATTTACAGTGGGGCAAGTGCTTTTATCTTTAAAAAAACAAAGATCAAACTTTAGACATCTCTGAACAACACCGCTTGTATAAACCAGACAGATTATTCAGATGAACTGTATTTAATACAGGTTCCCCACTCATCTCCTGATGCAGGACCAGTGAATAATAAGTGCATCACAGTTTGATAGCATTTAATAATAAAAATAAAAATCACAGTATGAATTTGTCTGTAACGAGACACTTTAGAGAGACAAAAACGGACAACTGAGACTTAAGACAAGTGACAGTATATTAAGAAAATGTAATAAAAACATGGAAGAGTATACAAAGTCGAGAGATACATTCGGAACTGCATATTCATTGTTTCACAATGTTGAAAACCAGAAGATTTTC